AGTTCACCAAATGTAGCACCTTCAAGGATTGACGTAGCACGATGTAGTTATAAAACAGGCTTTATTCTGGTCTTGACATCTCGTGAGAACTGTTCACGGACCAAAAAAATAAAACAAAAACATCACATCAAAATGCGCTCTTGTACTTAGTGTTGAACCCTTTAGGACTTAAATTGATGTGATCAAATTTACAAATGCTTACAAAATCTTTCACACTGTGGAAAATTAAAAATTCTGATTCATCTGATTACAGAATAATTTCCCAGTCTATCTTTGGTCAATAGAAGGTGTTGTAGATTACATATGGGTTCTTCTTTGCTAAATGCCTTTAACTAATGGAGGACCGCCTGGTTTAAGAGAGTATGTTGACAACGACCTTCGTGATACCTGTTACCAGCAGTGTTGAGAAGGTTACTTTAAAAATGTATTCCACTACAGATTACAGAATACATGCCCCAAAACGTATTCTGTAACGTATTCCATTACGGTACTCAATGAGAGTAACGTATTCTCAATACTTTGGATTACTAAATATATTATCAAGCTTTTTACAACTACATGAATCTACTATTGCTGTGTGATTTATTACTATTAAAGGCTACTCACCATACCAATACCAACTAGATGTTTAAATCGTAATATAAAATGAGTTAATAGTAGGGTGGATATTAGGTAAGGCTGCACTTTTTGCAGCAATCTCGTATAGAAAAATATTTTGTACGCATATATAAAACAAGTCAGCGGCTCCGAACCGTAGTAAAGGGACCTCTGGCTAATACGTCGGGTTCCGTGTCGGGCTCGTAGCTGAAAAATGGCTTTACTTTGTTGTCTGGGTCAATTTCGCTAGCAAGAACCAGAGAGAGACGTTGAACGGCTGCTCCAACGGAACTTATTGTTTTGGAGGAAAACACGAACACACTGTTTTAATAGCTTACTTACAACTGGGCTCGTCGGGCACTCTTTTTAGCTGCAGTGGTTATTATTATATTTACATGCTTCATACTATGCCTGTAACACTTTGCCTATTGCCTTCATATTTTTTTGAATAATAAAAAAACATTTCTTCACGTCATTATGTGGGCCCCAGGTAGGGGTGACATGGACTGCAAGATTGAGAGACAGGCATTAGACCCTCTTAATGCGTGTTTTGTTTCCATTTCAGTCTGAATGCTTAGGTGGTTTATTTTAAACACCTATAGTCATGGAAGTGATTGGAATATCTGAATTCAATGACTTGGAAGGGCAATAAATTTAGTGTTCTAATACCTACATTTTTCAGTAAGGGAGGAGACAAATATGATATTTAAAAATGCTTTTTTATTAAGAAGAGAAAAAAGACACATTGTAAGTAGGCGACTTACAGTTATGTGCAAAATAATAGCAGTCTAACATTACTAATGTGTTTAAGTACTGATTTTGGCAGAAATTGTGATACAAATTCATGACTAGGTGTAGCAGAGTAATGGCCAACCAACAGACTAACAGGCATGACAGGCATGCTGCAT